TTCAGTCAGTGCTTCAGCAATAACGATTCCAATTCAATTCATTTTTGTACAAAACTATCAAAAGAAGAAATGCGATAAAGACAAAAACGAGTAGAGGTAACAATGTCAGTTTATATTTCGTGGTAAATTATAGAGATTGACTAAGAACTATAAATTTATTACGTTACTCGTGTTTAATTGAAGAGTATAAAAAAATGCAATATAGGATAATTGATTCTGAATTTGATTCCTGAGTGGACCGACGGTTTTTTCAAAAATATACCGTATTTATTATACAAAAAGTCGAAATTACATAACTGATAAAAGGGAGAGTAGAGAGTTTTACCCAGGTATAGACCGTAGTCATTTGCGTGGGTACCACAGTCTCCCCTACTTCAGCCGCAAAGCAACTTCCTTTGTAATCTGTGGTTTAGTTGAAACGTGAAAAATTTTTGAAATTACAGGATAAGAGGACTCTGGAATAAGCATAATAAGTAACCCATAACAAGTAAGATGAACGTAACATGATAACCTGATATTCGTATAGCTGTACACGTATATAGTGACGCTTACCATCAATTGATCACTTTGTCTTCCAAATACATAAAATAGGACTTTTTTGGGCCGGTCAGTTTGTCTTTTAATTATATAAAATAGCACTAGCTTAAAAAGAAACCGAATTAAACTGTTGTCTGTTTATTACATCATAACGAGAAAACTGTTGAATGGAATTTATTGAAATTTTATAATTAAGTATTCATTGGCTCATTGCTCATGTTAAATACTGCATTCATAAGTGCATGTTTAGTTGGAATCAGTAGAGTGGAACATAATATACAAATTGACACTCCAATTGTATGAAATCTCGTTATACATAGAGCTCTTGGTTAATTGGACGATAAAACGTACTGTAGTGTTCACTTATATATTAATTAAGTCTTCCTATATATATATTTTTTTTTTATATATTCTTTATTCTTATTCCGTAACACTTATGACGGGTGCTGTGTGTGGGGACTAGTCTGTTTGGGTTACGAACACCGATTAGACTATTTACTTTTGCAATAGCATATGCTGAGTGGTCACTCTATTCTCCCGAATTTGAATTTATAAATGAATCTGTATTATTGTAAACATGTACAACATTTATTTGAAAATAATACAAACTAAGTTTCTTGTCAGTTCTCATCTCGAAATCATTCCGAACTGACTGACGGTAGATATGACATATCATAGGAGATTGTAATAGACGTACATGAATAAAATTTATAAGATATAAGAATAATATTTTGAATTTCAATTTCAATTGCACTTATAAAATTGTACAATTTTGTGAGCTTAATGCCTCAAAAACAGTATAATAATATCTTAGATATTACTAGTGATTACTAACCGTTTTTAATATTTCTCTTTGAATGTTGATATGACACGACTCCAATTTTGTCAGCAATACTTATTAATATTACAAATGCGAAATTCTGTCTGTCGCACTTACACGTCAAAACTACTGAAACGATTTTAAAATGAAATTTGGTATACAGATAGTCTATGAAAAAAGGGTTGTAAGGGGTTGAAGGGGGAGAGGTAGAGTAGGGAGACAAGGTGACAAGTTGCCGAAACGATTTTAATTTGAAATTGAAATGACAAGAAAAAAGGGTTATCTTGAAGGGGGAGTATTGTCATTTTAGAACTAAAACTGTGACAAGGTGACAAGTTATCATTTTTTTTTAGAACTAAAACTGTGACACTCATTTTTTAGGCTGTTCATTAAATATAAATAACATGACATTAAAATTTTTTAAAGCTATCTAGAAGGACTAAATCTATATATTTGGCTTTATTTATTTGTAAAATAATCAGCCTAAATAATTAAAAATGCTAGCCAAGATCACAATTCCACGCGGACAAAATCGCGGACGCAGCTAATCATTATTATTACATAGTATAAAATAAAGTCGCTGTCGCTGTCTGTCCCTATGTATGCTTAAATCTTTAAAACTACGCAACAGATTTTAAAACAGTTTTTTAGTGTTCTATAATAAGTAATAGTGATTCTAGAGAAATGTTTATATATATAATTAAGGTACACCCGTGCGAAGTCAGGGCGAGTAGCTAGTAAATAATATAAAGGAAAAATATTTTCGAAAATACGTACCCGTAAAGGATATCGAGCGAACAAATCAATGAAAAATCCTAGTATTAAAACAAAATTATATAAATAGATATAATTAGGGCAACACTTGAATAATAATTTGCATTTAGCAAATTTATACCGAGCAATATAATGATTTAATGCATAAATTACGTTTAAAAGGTGATAGACGAGCTATAAATTAGAAAGTTCGCATATCAATAAGTTTAATATTAGCCGGCAGGCTTTTTTCATAAGAGTATCATAACCGCGTCCTAGATAGTGTCTGAGACTTGTTCATAAAAAAAAAGTCTCAAACTCAATTTAGTCTATGCATTGAAATGTATTGTATTCATTTACTTCATGTTTTTCTTTTTTTTTAGAAGACAAAAGATACGAAAAGAAGTAGAGGAAGACAGTACAGAAGATGGATAGATGATTTCCAAGATGTGGCAGGTGATACTTGAGCAAGATTTGCTAACAATAGAGACATTTGGAGGAGATCTATACTTGTTACCAAACAGATATAGATAACAGATATATATGTTGGATATAGAAGAAAATGTACATGTAAAAAAATATCTATGATCTGAATAAAGGCTTTATTATTATTAATTTACTTGTCATTCCATTCCATAAGATTTAATCATTAAGAATAGAATAGAATAAAAAATAATTTATGTAAGTAAACTTACATTGAAGCACTTTTGAATTTGGAATGATAATCATTTATGCAAGTAAACTTAAATTGAAAATTATTTATGCACTTAAATTGAATTTGAATTTGAATGAAAATCATTTAAATGAAGGACTTTTGAATTTGGAATGAAAATTATTTATGCAAGTAAACTTACATTGAAACACTTTTGAATTTGGAATGAACAGTGCTAACAAGCAATTAAAACGAAGAGTGTGAAGATCACTCCATCAAAATAAGATCAAAGAATAAAACTGAAAAACGTACCAGTTGAGTTACTTGCCAGTTTTTCTCAGCTCAAGTGGCTAGCCAAACTGGGGTATAGTCGGGTATAGTTGTGAAAGATATGACATACACAAGAGACGGTAAGGTTCAATGTGAATGAATGATTTTGAGTTTAAATTTGATAAAAATAAAACATGTTTTCAACTAGCTCTTAACAATATTGATGGGATGTTTCGACTTCTTGAGGAACCACAAAAACCCTTCAAGAAACAGGCAGTCATAGGGCTGAAAATATGTAATACCAATTAGAGCGAGGTCTATCATGTGGCCGAGAGAGAAACTCCAAGCATTTCCCGGACTAGTGAGCAAGGTGAAAGTTTAATATACTGGAGGTGCCTTACCAACATACATCGACACTCAACTTAACCACTTGTGTTTCTGTACCTGCCAAGGAAGCCTGTTACAGAAGGCCTGTTAATAAAAGCCGATCTCTGATAAATAATTTAATAATACTACATTTGTCTGAACACGCACATTACATTTTGTGTTGTACAGACAACATTTATTTTATTCACAATCAAATACAAAATCTGAGTGACCACAGATTACACCATGTATCAATACAGAGTATAAAATATACATAAGTATAACATCAACAAAAGCCACAGATAAGAGAATATTGAATAAGTTAAACCAAGCAAATCCTAATTTATATTACACTAGCTGTTACCCCCAACTTTGTCTGCACAAACTTCCACCCCCTATTCCACCCCTTTCTGATTAATTTGTGAAACATAAAAGCCTATGTCTATCCTACTTATGTAATCAATCTTCATTTCAAATTGCATTAAAATCTATTCAGCAGTTTAATAGTGAAAAGATACCAAACAGATATACAGACTTTCACATTTATAATAAGAAATATGGGTTACATAAATAAATGTTTGCTCTTAAGTGATGCCAGGAATTTAGACTGCTTAAAATTAATAGTAAGTTTAAATCGAAAAACAAATTTTCAACCCCTATTTTAAGATTACCATTACACCAATTTCAATTTTTACTATATTGTGAAATCAAAGTGATTTCACAATATAGTAAAAATTGAAATTGGTGCATTTTTTTACAAATAATTAAAGACGTCAGTAAAATAAATGATACTAAAAATATTTCTTTAAAAAATTAAAGACTTGATACAAAACAACGAGTAAAAAAATAAACTGTACACTTATATTTACCCAAAAATACTAATAGGTAAGAATTTTTTAAATATCCATAACAAGGAATATTGATATTTCTATAAATTATTTTTTAATAATATAATACAAGGTTAAAAATAGAAAAGATTTTTTTTTTATTAATATGTCACTGTTATTTTTATTTTAAAAATAAAGTTGCTATTTTTACCTAATTACATTCACTTTCATTCATTTATAGTTTTTTTTTTTCATAATTTTAAGTGCTGCCAGAATCAAAACTTAATCAGATTCCAGAAAATCGATAATTCGATTATGACCTAAAAATCAAACCTGTGAAAGAAGAAAACGCAGTGACTAAAACCACGTGGAGCGCCAAGGTCGAATTTATGTTTTCAACTTGTCAAGCGCGGCGTGTGATAAATTAATTCTACGGGCCGTTATCGTCGCATATGTTACATGAATTCAGACCTTAATCCCTACGAATAAGAAAACTATTTGAATGCGCAACGAGCCCACGCATAGTCGCCAACCCAGGCAATATATCTTGAGCCGTGTACTGCCCGTGACAGTTCGTAAACAAACTGGAGCTACCGCAACAAAGGGCGAGTGTCATTTTGCACAGTAAATATCGTCGACAAGCTAAATTTAAATCTCCTTACGTTCGTCCGTCATCTCAAAATAACAACTTATAAATAGGAAAGATTCGTGACTAAATCGCATTCATATTAATATTATTTGTAAAACTCTAACACTAATATCTGTATACACTTACCAGAAGAAAACAACACAAGGTTGGACAATGTTGCAGAGTCATCTGTAGTACATCTTGCACATATCGATCACAATCAGATTGCAGTCTCTCAAAAACACTAGTAAAAAAGGAAGAGGTTAGCACCAAAAATCTACGTTTTTCATATATGTATGTATCATTTAGCACTTCTAAATGTTCAGTTTGTCTAAATTTGATTACAAACTGATACACAATGCATTAGGCTAGCGAAGTCTGCTCGTAAAATGAATCACAATCAAAATAAAAATAGTCTCGCAGACGCTGCGTCGACCGCCGCGCCGCTGTCTGTCTGCCGTGCTGTCAATATTCGTCAAAATGAAAATGGCGACACCCTCGACAGAATACGATCAGCGCCGGCCTGCTAGCCAGTCGCCTCTCTATCTAAAACCAAACGAGAAACAAGGATGGGGAATCGTCGTGTTGTCTTCAACCCGACCGGACTGATTTGTGATGTCACGCCCAGCAGCGTAACGTTTTGCGTAATTACATGTTCTTGATGGTCTTTAAACTTGTTTTAATAACATTAATTTACGAACGTTTCGTATGTGAATTCGTCAGATGAAAGTGTCGGTCATGGCATAGGTTAATTATAGTATAATGTTACGTTATTTCTCTATAAAACGTCTTTGCGCATGTTAAGCCCATCCCACTACTCAATATCTGTCGTGAGGTCACCTCCTACTTCTTCTTATTTTATTCAGTACTATTTTTTCAGATGTTCATCTCAGCTGCATTAATTCGATGACTCCAACAGTCGCAATGCAGTTTGATTAATAATGGAGTCAGACTGGAAATATTCTTGTTCTGAATCGGAATAATTACCTACTACGAGAACTATAAGTTAAAGTATTAGAGAAAAATAAAACTATTGGTCAATTTTGAAACATTTTTAAATTAGAAATGTGAATAAAGGAAAAATCTTGAAATAAATTACAAATAATTTTAATTATGAGTATTTCAAGTAGCCTGGCCAGGCGAATACCCTAGACAACTATCATTTTGAAAGGAATAGCACAATTGAGCACAACAAAGGACTGTCATAAATTTACTACTTAATTAGGTACTTAGTATTTGATGTTATATTTTAAAATTAATTTAATATTTAATTAAAGAAGCAAGTCAGTAGAAAATTAAAAAAATCATATTTGATTATAACAAAAAAAAAGATTAATAAAGAATTATGATAGTAAATCAGACGAATGAAACTTTATTATATTTATTTATATATCATTTGTGTGGCTGTACAGCTACATCAATTGATACAATTAATATCAATGCATTTTAATCGATTGTACAATTTCATCGAATATATTGTAAAATAACGGCAGTCGACATAACTAAGTACATAATAAAAATAAAAATAATTGCCATAAAAATATATAGAATTCTAGAATTCTAATTTCGTTCATTCTTTTTTTTATCTAACAAAGTACTTCTTAATATAAATAATGACATTTATAGTTAGCAAGGACAAATGTCACATTTAAACGTCATAATAGCATAACAAAATTTCAAGAAAATATATAATCTATTTCCATTTTCTGTCAATCGTTCTTGCCTTTGGTGTTTCTGTGTAATTGAATTGTTTGTATTATACAAATTTCTTTGAATATATTTGAGTAAAATATTTCGTTTAATTTATAACCTGACATAATCACGTTTAATAACAACGTAAATGTGGATACATATAGAAAATGTTGGAAAAAAATACAATATTGCATGAATTATTTTAAAAGGTATTAAAATATATTGCTAGTACATGCAACACTCAATGAGTGAGTAGTGAACGATACGATTGATTTCAGTGTTCCATGTGACGCGACTGCTTATTTCATTCATTCCTTTTATCCGTTGCACTTTGAAAATTCTGTTTAAAATTTCATACTTTGCCGAAATTAGTTGTATAGTTGCTTTTATTTTTTAGTAATTTCATTAATTTATTCGCAATGGCAGATAGAGAAACTCATAATTCAAGACTTGCTGCTTACAAAAATGCTGGTCATGGAACGACAGTGAGTAAAAATAAAAATATATTGTTCGAAATTTGAAATTTCGAATACGATAAATTAATATTGTATGTGTATTTAAAAGCATTTTTGTAATATTTAAAAACAATCTGAGCCAAAATAACAAATATATTACTTAAAAATAACTTAAGTTTTTATAATATTCCCCACCGTCATTCCTTTTTATTAATATGCTTATAAACTACTTGTATGTAATCGCATTGTTAAGATATTCCCTTTTTTTATTTATATTTTAACTTGCGATTGCCAAAATCCATCGATTAAAAAAATGAAGTGAAAGGAACACGACCTTACTGAAGGGTAGTTGATTTCAGCCACATTATTATTATTATTATTATACGATATTCCACACTGGTTTAGTTTTTGTCTTGATATACACAGGCCGTCAAAGGGCATATGAAGGCGAAAGTCAATGTTAATACTCATGAAACGTAAAATACTTAGCAAAAAGCATAATAGAACATTTAAAAAAATCTTCTATACAAACTCACGCACGTGTATCACAGTATTATAAGCGTCGAAATGTATTTTTCTATTTCAACTGTAATTTTCACTTAGTAATATTTCCTACATCTGTTGTAAATTAATCGATTAGATAAGTAAATGTTGATGCATATATATGTATAATGTCTACAAAAGAATGTACCCACACAGTTAGTAGAAAAAAAACATAAATATCTAGTATTAGTGTTATTAATACTCAAAATGTGAGAGTTTGTGAGTATGGTAACATATTTTGATGAAACTTTACAGTATAGCTTATGCATCAGAATAATATATGGGCTATAAATTTCATGCAGGGTAAACCATGGGAACTGTTACTTACTAATAAATGAACATGAAATTATGAAAGATCCTTTAATACACTGGTATTGCTAGTTCTGTTAATTACTTGGGAGTTTATGCATAATTTCCTGTACCAATGCAAAAATGTTGCCTATTTCGAATTTGACTCAGCATTTTTTTATGTTTGTTGTTTATGACAGACTAAGTTAATTAAATAAACATTTAGAACATACAAAAAAGCTCTTCCCAAAAGTTTTAATGCAGATGAAGCAATGTAAAATTTAAATGATTTAATGTTACATCATTACTCAGTATAAATCAAAGTTGCTGTCGCTGTCTGTCCAATAAAGAACTCTTGATGACATGTCAATGCTCACCTTCCATCTCTCCCTGCTCAGCCAAATCTGGTAGGATCCTGCTTGTGCAGCCTTAGATACAAATTCCAGTATAGAATTTACTGTAGACCTAGACCTCTTTAGTATACCTCTCAATCTCAATTGAATTCATTATTAATTCCTAGCCTATATTTGTTTTTGTCTATTACTAATTCCCATGCTATAGTGAGCTCTCATTTATAATATTAGTATATTTTAAGTCCTGTACTAGATGCAATTGTATGCAAAAAGTCTGTACTGGAATTTATTCCATATCCATTTTTATTATACCCCTGATCACTGTAACATCCTTTTCAATCATACATTTGTTAATCAGGATCTGCGTCGCAAGAGGGCAGAGCTCAGTGTTGCCCTTAGGAAGCAAGCTCGTGATGAACAGCTGCTCAAGCGGAGGGCACTCTCTCCTGAAGCAGGAGAGGCACCTCAGGATGGTGAGAAGCAGCAAACTCCAGGAGAGATTGTAAAAGGTAATATTCATAATTATATATTCTTTATGGAGAATAATGGAGAATGATTTACCTGCTTTGCTCTAAAAGTATATGCCACTACACATCTTAAGTTATTGTAGCCCACACATGTATAAAGGAAATATCTCCTTTGGAAAATACACCAACCTGAGGAGATAAAAACTGTCACCTCAAAGAATATTCTTAAATTCTTATCCCTGATGAGTTTTGAAATAGAAATTATTTAAATTGAACTTAATATAAGCTAATATATTTTTTTCTACTGCTCATTGGAAAAGCAAACTCATAACAAACACAAGCGAGATACTTAGTGTGATGTTCTTTTAAGTAAATATTGTTCAGCATTACATATTAAATATGAAAGATCATGATATTAAAGTGATAGTTCTCTGAATACCTAAGTAGCAAGGTCTGAAACAAGGCATAAATTTCCATAGGTTGCATTGCTATAATAATAATAATCTCAGGACAATTCACACAGCGCCATCTAGATCCAAGATAAGCTAGCCAAAGCTTATGTTATGGGTACTAGATAACTGATACACATACATAGATATTTTTATTTTGTAAATACATACATATTATATATAGAAAACACCCAGACTGATACAAGCAATCATACTCATGAATACAATTGTTTGTGCCGTACGAGGAATCAAACCCACGTCCATCGGTCGTAAAGGGGTATGCTAGACTACTAGACTACTGAGGTCGTCTATTGGCGTAAATAGCTAGCAATAGCTCAAACTCTTAATGAAGGGGATCCTCATTTCAAAGATTGTTAAAGGTTCATTAGCGATAAGACCGCCTCTTGTACTTAGTTTTATTTTTAGTTCTTTAATTTTATTCATGTCCTATTCAAAGTCATATTGGTGCAATAAATTGTAATAGAAAGGAATGTGAAAATAAATTGTATCACAAGGAGAGGAGGGTCATAGTATATCTTGTACTTTATGATAACTCAAATTTCTTTCTCATTGTCTATGCAGGTCTAAAGTCTCAGGATCTAGCTGTGCAGACAGCAGCAGCACGTGCGGCCCGCCGTATGCTGTCGAGGGAGCAGAACCCTCCGATCTCATTGATGGTGGATGCTGGTGTTATCAAGCCTTTGATTGCTGCGTTGGACAGAGATGACTGGTGAATAAACTGTTTATGACTCTCTTCAGGGAATATCTCTTCCCCACATTTTCTTTTATGCAACTATAATAACAAATAAGCTGAAGGTGATGGTACATGGTAACCATTGCTTAATAAAATTAAAAACCATTTATTCATGTAGGTTTTAGCTGCTTATGAACATAATATTTTTTCACCTACCTTCCAGTACAGTATATAGATTTAATTGAGAAGAACTGGCACGAAACTCAACCGAATTCTTTTTTTTTAGAAGCCATTTTATTTACAATGTGTACTCTTGCAGGCGTCTATGACTTACTTACATTAAGTAAAAATCCTGTGCATGAATTGCCATGAATATTTGTCATTTACATGAAAATCACTAGGTTTTATCGACTCAGAAGTAATTTAGTTACTGAATTATTTGTTACGATTTACAGTACCGACCTCCAGTTTGAAGCTGCTTGGGCTTTAACCAACATAGCATCAGGCACCCACGACCACACCATGGCTGTTATCGATGTAAGTTATAATTATATTAATAATTAGAATATAATTTTTTGTTAGGTCTGAGAACAGATATAGTATTTATGGCCATAGATAGGTAGGCTATTCAGAAATAATTTATATGGGAATACTATGTTTGCCATTTAGCTAGTAGTTTCATATTTTTAGTTTTAACATATAAAAAATTAATTAATTTTAAGCTCTAAGAGGTCTAACATTCATTAGCAATAATGGGTAACGTCAGGATGAGTATAGATTCTGGTTTTATTTACCTGAGTTCACCATAATAAGTGTCACATATGTGGGATCAATTCCACATCATCAAGGGCCACTGGAGAGACTTATTAACCGATAATTCCGTAACTTATGCAGGCCGGCGCGATCCCACCGCTGGTGTCGCTGCTGGAACGCGGTGGAGCGGTGGGCGAGCAGAGTGCGTGGGCGCTGGGCAACATCGCGGGCGACGGGGCCGGGCCCCGGGACGCCGTGCTGGAACACCGCGCGCTGCCCGCGCTACTGAAGCTGCTGCGACCGCACACGCCGCCCAGCCAGCTGCGGACCGCCGTGTGGGCCTACAGCAACCTGTGCAGGTAACTGTACCTCTGTGTGCATGCACACACCGCCCAGACCGTTGCAGACCACCGTGTGGGCGTACAGTAATCTGTGCAGGTAACTGTACCACTGTGTGCATGCACACACTGCCCAGACCGCTGCGGACCGCCGTGTAGGCGTACAGCAATCTGTGCAGGTAACTGTACCACTGTGTGCATGCACACACTGCCCAGACCGCTGCGGACCGCCGTGTGGGCGTACAGCAATCTGTGCAGGTAACTGTACCACTGTGTGCATGCACACACCACCCAGACCGCTGCGGACCGCCGTGTAGGCGTACAGTAATCTGTGCAGGTAACTGTACCACTGTGTGCATGCACACACCGCCTAGACCGCTGCGGACCGCCGTGTGGGCGTTCAGCCATCTGTGCAGGTAACTGTACAACTGTGTGCATGCACACACCGCCTAGACCGCTGCGGACCGCCGTGTGGGCGTACAGCCATCTGTGCAGGTAACTGTACCACTGTGTGCATGCACACACCGCCTAGACCGCTGCGGACCGCCGTGTGGGCGTACAGCCATCTGTGCAACACGGGTTACCACAGGGCGCCTCCACCCAGCGCCTGACCGCTGCGGACCGCCGTGTGGGCGTACAGCCATCTGTGCAGGTAACTGTACCACTGTGTGCATGCACACACCGCCTAGACCGCTGCGGACCGCCGTGTGGGCGTACAGCCATCTGTGCAGGTAACTGTACCACTGTGTGCATGCACACACCGCCTAGACCGCTGCGGACCGCCGTGTGGGCGTACAGCCATCTGTGCAGGTAACTGTACCACTGTGTGCATGCACACACCACCCAGACCGCTGCGGACCGCCGTGTAGGCGTACAGTAATCTGTGCAGGTAACTGTACCACTGTGTGCATGCACACACCGCCTAGACCGCTGCGGACCGCCGTGTGGGCGTACAGCCATCTGTGCAGGTAACTGTACCACTGTGGGCAAGCACACACCGCCCAGACCGCTGCAGACCACCGTGTGGGCGTACAGTAATCTGTGCAGGTAACTGTACCACTGTGTGCATGCACATACCGCGCAGACAGCTGCGGTCCGCCGTGTGGGGATTTTTTACTTTTAGAAAATCCCTCACTTCTGTTTCCTTTTTCTTGTACTACAACATCTACATACATAAACAAGCATTTAGCCCATCTGATGGTAAACAGTTACCTTAGCCTATGGACACCTGAAATTAACAAGGATATCATGTACGCGCTGCCGACCATATCATTTACTTCAGCCTAGGTTTAGTCTCAGTGGTCTAACGGTTTAGCACACCACCTTCCTAGCGACACTACTGATGGTCACTATTTGTATTCATGAGCATGATTTTTTGTACCAGTTAGGGTGTTTTTTAATTTCATACACTCAAGTTAAACCTAGATAAACTTTGTACAAATTTGTGTTATTTTGATGTATAAGCTATATTACTGTAAAGTTTCATCAAAATCCGTTCAGTACCTTTTGTCTGAAAGATTAAAATATTCACAAACTTTCTCATTTCTAATATAAAAAACAAGATTTTAATATCAAATTCAGCTGATATATCACTAAATGTAAAATAATATGTATTTCTCTTATTCCAGGAATAAGAATCCTCTAGTGAAATTTGATATGGTCTCTCCAGCTCTTCCATATATATCCGACTTGCTGGAAGTAACCGATCAAGATATATTGGGTGAGTATTGTTTCCTAGTCAGGTGCTGATTGAACTGTTTTAGTCCTAGACTTCTAAGGCCGCAACTGGACACAGACTTTGTTTTTGTGACACATATATACATATATGCTACCTGACCCCACAAACGTTGTTTTGCCAAATTATTTTCTATTATATAAATTAAAATCGTTATTAAAAAAGGGGATAGTGGTAGATATGTGAAAATTTAGATTTGTATGTATTTTTTTTATATTCTTCATCATTAATCTCAATGCTGCCCACCTATGATGACGGATCATGATACCACTCCTGATGCGACATATATGTATATATTATTTTATTTTTAAATTAAAATAAAAATATCTAGCTAAATATATGGCTCTAGATTTCATGTTAGGCAAGTTGTATACATAGTTTTGTTTATTCCTTACATTGGACACTACCTCTGATTACCCCCTGGGATATTATAGTCGTGATGCTATAATATTACTTATATTTACAGCTTTACTTCCGAAGGTCGCGGGTTCGATTCCGCGCACGGCACAAATATTTCAATTCATGAGTATGATTGTTTGTATCGGTCTGTTTATTTTCTATGTATATCATGTATGCATTTACCAAAAAAAAAGTATCAGTATGTATCAGTTGTCTAGTACCCATAGCACACGCTGCTTAGCTTGGGACTAGATGGCGCTGTGTGAATTTCTCTGAAATATTATTATTAATTTATATTTAAATCTTACAATTCAAAAATTCAAAATTCAAAATATCTTTATTCATGTAGGTCTATTACAGACTCTTATGATATGTCAAATCTACCGTCAGTTCGGAATGATTTCAAGATGAGGACTGACAAGAAACTCAGCTCGTATTTTTTTTTTTTTTAATATTGTACATATTTATAATAATACTATTTCATTTAAATTCAAATTTGGGAGAATAGAGTGACCACCAGCATATGCTATATAAAAAAAAATCAAAAAAATCAAAAAATCTAATCAGTGTTCGCAACCTGAACAGACCAGTCCCCACAAGCAGCCCTCACGATATGACGGATGAGCCAATCATTGCACTCAACCATATTAGAGGGATCCGATGAACAGGTATGGACCACAAGTTTGAACTTTATAGCGTAGTTTTTTCATTTATTTCATTTATATTATTTACAGCATAAACTGTACCAATCATGTTTTCACTCCATTACAATATTTAAATTACAATATGTCATTACTAAATTTAGGATAAGTTTCTTTAGTGTTTATTACATTATCTATGTCAATGAGAAAGTTATATACCTTAACAAATGTTAAAATAATTAAGTTCAAAGTTAAAATAAGTAAGTAATTAAGTCCACGCATTGTAGTCATTCAAGTAGTCGTTTATTTTATAATAAGCTTTAGCGCAAAGTGTATTTTTTACATGTATCTTAAATTTCCCTTCATTTAAATTCAAAACATTATCGGGCAATTTATTATAAAAACGTACACAATGTCCCATGAAAGATGTACTTACTTTTTTGAGACGAAAACTAGGCATATTTAATTTATTTTTATTCCTTTATTAAAACCGTGTAAGTGACTATTCTTTGTAAATAAATTTAAGTTTTTACAAACATTATATTTTCATATATATATTGAGAGGGAACAGTAAGCTGTTTCTTTAAAGCGTTCTCTCGTTCGCGACAAGTAAATTATATATTGAACGAACTGCTCTTTTTTGTAATATAAAAATTGATTCTACATCATCCTTGCCCCACAATATAATACCATACGACATTATACTATGGAAGTAACTAAAATACACTAGCTTCGCTGTTGCAGTATCAGTTAACTGTCTAATTTTTCTGATAGCAAAAGAAGCCGAGCTCGGTTTAATATATGTGGTCCCCACTGCAATTTATTATCTATTACAATACCAAGAAAAGAAGTCTTATCAACAAAGTCCAAAACATGATCATTCAAACTAACATTTACAATAACAATGATATCCTTATATTGATTCTAGCGGATTCATGCTGGGCACTGTCATACCTAACAGACGGGCCCAACGAGAGGATAGAGTCTGTACAAAGCACCCCTAACCTGCTGGTCCGCCTCGTCTCCCTGCTGGGTCACAAGTCCCCCGCCGTCAGGACCCCCGCCCTCAGATCTGTGGGGAACATGCTCACTGTGATGAACAGTTACCCCGTTGCTGAGGTTATATATATTTTCGCACAAGTTGATGACTTTTTTTTTTTTTTTGTGATGTAATCTAACTGTTGCCTAAATACATAAACAGCACTATGAAGATCACGTTATCATGTGACAGTATGTTTTAGTCTTAGCATTATTACTGTCATAAGCTTTAGCGTAATTTATAGACCTCGATTCAAATTCAAAATTACAGACTCTTTATTATAGCTTTAACTTCCACATAATATTTTCAAACATATAGTTATTACTAGCTTTTGCTCGCGGCTTCGCTCGCGTTAATTTGTTCCTTTAGGGGTGGAATTTATTAAAATCCTTTCTTAGCCTACGTCATAGTAGCTATATGCAAGCAAAGTCTCAGCCCGATCGGTTTAAAATTGACGAAGTTTCATACAAACTTTTCCCCTATTTCATCCCCTTGGGAGTAGAATTAATCAAAATCCTTTCTTAGCGGATGTCTACGTCATAACATCTACCTGCATGCCAAATTTCAGCCCGATCGGTCCAGTAGTTTGGGCTGTGCGTTGATAGATCACTATGTCAGTCACCTTTTTGTTATATATATTTAGATTATTTTTTTTTTCTTATCGCTGACGTAATCTCTTCCAGACATTAAAATTTATATTTTTTCTATAGTCAGAAATGGCGCAATTGACCTCCTAATAATCTCCTTCCCCTTTAGACGGACCGTTGCCTACAAGCCGGCTGCCTGGATCACATCGCCACGCTACTCCACTGCGGGAAGCCATCCCTCATGAAGGAAGCGGCTTGGGCTATCTCAAACATCCTAGCTGGCACCAATGAACAGATACAGCAGGCGATCGATAAGGGAATCCTGAATCATTTGTTACATGTGCTGTCTTTCGATGATATCAAGTGAGTACTAAAACTAAAATACCAAATATTATGCATGCAAAAGTAATTCTGTCTGTCTGTCTCGCTTTCACGCCAAAACTAATACTATACCTGATTTAAATGAAAATTGGTACACAGATAAACCCAGATCCTGAAAAAGGGTTAATAACCCTTTTTGGTGTTTTTTTTATGGATGATAATGGAATGGTGCACCCGCCTGCGCTAACTGTTTACGTTAGTGGGGCACCAGTGAGAATAAGAAGAAAAAGATTAGCATGAGGTCAGGTCAGTTAGCCTATCATGACCCATTCACCAAGAATTTATCACGATGGCTTCCAGGGGAACCGCGTGGAGATCAACCTAATATGATACATTGCTAGCAATGGGATTTACTAGTTCCCATTACAAACAATCCCCTTTCCCCCCTTTTTGGAGTTGAAAGGAGAGATGAAAGGTTGTACAAAAGTATTGTCATTTTTAAAGCAAGAATTTTGAAACTTTTTTTTATGACTTGTTGGGTTAGATTATTAACTACTTTATGCTCACCAATGTTACTAATCCACGCCGACAAAGTCGCAAGCACAGCTAGTATATAAAAAAAATAGTTTATTCAAAATACTTTCTACAGTCTAACGGAATAACTAATATAGAACCACAATATTCTCAGATGCCAGAAAGAAGCCGCATGGGCGATTACCAACTTGTGCCTAGGTGGAAGTCCTCAGCAGCTGGACGCTCTACTTGCGGCCGGGTTCCTACAACCGTACTGCTATCTATTGAGTTCGCCCGACCACCGCGCTGTCACCGTTGTACTGGATGGTCTCACCAACTTACTGCAGGTGAGCTTCAAAGTGGACATCTGCAAATTACGTCACACTTGGAGGACGAGTGAGAGGGACAAAGTGTGTGTGACAAGAGGTGGGAGTCTTAAATCTCATGATGTCACATTTTGAAGTATAATATATATTTGTATTTGAATACCTTCGTAATTGAAACGCGAAATTTGAATTATCATTACATAGTATAAAACAAAGTCGCTGTCTGTCCGTCCCTATGTATGCATAAATCTTTAAAACGCAATGGATTTTGAAACAGTTCTATTTTAATACATGGAGTGATTCAAGAGGAAGGACTATATATGTACTACATGTACACCCGTGCGAAGCCGGGGCGAGTATTAATAACAATACATTAATAGACAATTATATGAACAGCAAGCTTTCATCCCCTAATTTATCCCCTTGGGGGTAGAATTAATCAAAATCCTTTCTTAGCGGATGCCTACGTCATAACATCTACCAGCATGCCAAATTTCAGCCCGATTCGTCCAGTGGTTTAGGCTGTGCGTTGATAGATCACTATGTCATTCACCTTTGAGTTATATATATTTAGATTAATAGAAAGTGTAGTTTGTGATGTCTGATGTACCATTTATGTATATAGGTGATGTTTACCACTTACCATCAGGTTGTTGGTCTACTGTTCAGAATATTTCTGTATAAATAAAGGTCACGGTATGTTATGTTGTTATAACTTTATTGCAGGCCGCCGCAAAATTTGGACAAGTGGAGCCTCTGTGTATAAGATTAGAAGAGATAGGGGCTTTGGATCAATTAGAAGCGTTGCAGCAACACGAAAACGAATCGGTAAATCTTTAAGATTGTTTTTAAAGACATTTCAGAGTATTTAACTGTATAAAGTGTCAATAAAATAGTGGTAGAACAGTAGCTAACCTAACTAATAAAGTTGTACAATATTTTTCTTATATATCTTCTAGGTACATATGGCAATTGATTACATTTTTATTATTATATATGTTGTTATATGGATAGAAATTACTGCAAAGTTTAGTTTCACACTATTTTCAGTGTCTAGAGTCATTTACTGTGTCTTTAATTTTCTTTACATATAAAACAAAGTCGCTGTCGCAGTCTCTTCGCTTATATCTTTTAAAAAAATAAAAAATCACGCAACGGATTTAATGCAGTTTTCGGCAATAGGTAGTGATTCAAGAGGAAGGTTTATATATATAATACATGCGTGTTATAGTATAGAAGAAGCCGAGAAATTCAAAGATTTGTATGCATCCGTATGAAGCTGGAAGTGGTCGCTAGTACATAATCTGGGATAGCTTCTTAAATACTGGTGTGATTTAAATGACTTTGATATCAATTTAAAGCTAACAGTTCAACCTTCCAAATGGTATCATTTTTATTATTCTTAACTAGTTTTTAAGTACTCAAGATCGCCCGGAATCAATTCAAAGCAAGTGATTTCATACTTTTGCTCGCGAGTGTATATAAATATATATTTTCCACGTTACAGGTATATAAGAAAACCTTACACATTTTGGATACATATTTCGCGGAACAAGACGACGCGGCCGCTGCACCAACAGAAACGAATGAAGAATATCAATTTGGTACAACAGGAACACCAAACATCAACTTCTAGAACGATCCATGTTCAAATTGCCCGGGGCCCCCAGGTCCCGTAGTATGTTACACTAGCGACCCTATTGTTAGCCACTGCCATGTATATTTCTATTATTAATACAATCATTTAGATTATAGTAGGATAGTATATATATAGTAGGTTTTATTATTTACTGTTAGCAACATGAACATGCGTTTTTTTATAATTAGTATACAAGATTCTTCTAGAAAATCGAAGATCGTTAGATAGAATTTTTCTTAAGGGGAAGCAACAAATAGGATGCGTTGTTAATTGTATCAATTTTGATCACACTTAAAAGCAGCAAATACGCTATCCCAAATACTGAGATACAACTGTTATTTGCACTTTCACGTGCAGATTTTTTAACTGAATTCATTCAGTTTTAATTTTTGTATTTATTGTAATGAATGAACACAATAACTATGTAGTAAAAGAACTTTCCAGCGATGGTATTTCCGAACCGATACGATATTGAAACCTTAAAAAAAAGAGCTTATTCCTTCTTAAAAGGCATCAGCATACACACTTGCAATTCTCCTAGTGTTACGGGTGTTCATGGGCGGCGATAATCACTTACCATCAGGTGAGCCGCAAGCTTGTTGTCCCTATGCTAAAATAACTGTGTATCTCTGTATCGTTACTTTACCATCAATTCAAATTTAATATAGTGATAATTTATATAAGCTTTGTTTTTGTTGGTAAATGTGGACCAATTATATAAGTATGTATGAAATTATGTCTATGAAAGTTATGCTAAACTGGTGAACAAAATCCCGAAAAAAAAGCCATTTCCTGTATTTGCATCGTGGTCTGTCGTTGACACACAGATATCACTGCTTGATGGAACCATTACAATTGTCTTATGTAATGTAACTATTAAAAATGTCTTGTATAATGTAACTATTACAATTGTTAGTGGCGTATTAATAGAACGACTATAGCGGTAGAGTCGCTGTTCTCCGTCACTTAATGTATCCATCACAAATAAGTTTTGTAGTAGCTGTTAATGGAACAAGCGATAAAGTCGCTGTTGTGTCATTTTAGGGTGGCCATATACATCCGGTTAATCGTTATGTTAGCAGTATCACTTAATATTTCAATCACAAATAAGTGTTGCAGTAGCAGTTAATGGAACGACAAGCGATAGAGTCGCTGTTCTGTCAATTATTAGGGTGGCCATACACATCCGATTAGTTGTTAGGTTAGTAAACTAACATTATGATGGACTCTCAATTGGTTACTACATACAGTTTTGGAAGGGAGACGATGTCGCAACTAAACTCGTCTTTATCGAAAAGTATTTTGGCAACCTGAGGGCTAACGAAATGACTATCCTTGTATGTGCTACCGTTTTAAGACTGGTCATGGGAGTCAGGATAGAATTGTATATATATAACCCTATTTTGTATATCCCCCCCCCCATATGATCCTTGAAGTTAACAAACGTTTAATGTCATAAAAATAGAATGATGTATTCAAAAGTATTGCTCTCAATTGTGATATGCTCAGATAAGAATCTTGAGACTGATTGTTTTTGTTAGTTAATTAGGTGTAAGAGTAATAAATCATTCATTTTCTTATAGTTATGTTTTTCTATTTATATATACCCAATTTTTCGTGACCTCCATAGACGATGAAAGATGTAGAAATTCTGCGTTTTCTTTTGTGCAAATCATGCGATTTTTAGCGTTATTTGATTTACTACTCACAATTTTTTCACATAATTAGCAAAAATCGCGTATTTTTGGATAAATCCGTGTTCAGAGATATTTCATTATTTTCATGAAATTAGGACTTTTGTAATTGTATCTGTTATGTGTAGGGTATTCGTTAAACTATTTAAATAAAACAAAACTGTTGTAATATATCGACGCTACGCAGTTTTGGCGCCGTTATAATGCGTCACTATACGCACGCTACGATTAAGAAAAAAACATTGTGCTATTTATTGTCTGCAGGCATATGAACTATAAAGCTTTTTGCATGAATCTCCTGATAGCATGGGAATTTGGGGAATACTTTATTGAATGCCAGTACTTTGTAATTTTATTAAAATTAAATTTATTAAATTTATGGACTTATCTAAATTGCATAAACTGGTTCATAGATCCATTATACCAATTAAACTGTTTGGTCCATATGGTGGATGGTAAGTAGTAACAATCACCTACATAAACGGACACTACATCATCAAGTCTGTGACATATTTCATGCATCGTCGCTTCAGAGAAACAATAACAATATACCTGGACAATTCACACAGCGCCATCTAGTCCCAAGCTAAGCAGGGCTTGTGTTATGAGTACTACACAACTGATACAAATACATCTACTACTACTACTACTTATATACTAAATTTAATACATAATTATATGTTAATACATTTTTAATAACATGTTAACACATTTTTTCGTAAATAATAATAATAGATACATATAAAGTACCCAGACCGATACAAACAATCATACTCATGAATATAAATATTTATGCCGTGCGAGGAACCAAATCCGCGACTATCAGAAGTAAGGCAGTGTGCTAAACCACTGTAATCCACTAAGGCCATCAAATAAAAATTCTTATCTATCTATCTGGTCTATTATAAAATTATAACCCACAATTTTAAATACTTATTACTTTTATTAAAAAATGATCTTATGTGCTAAAACTTAAGTTAATTGCAAACATTTCTTATGCTTTATTTTGCTCCTTCAGCTGTTCGAGTTGTTGTCTGAAACAAAGAAAAACATTTTTATATAAAGCAAATAGCAAAAGAGCTGATGGTAACTGGCAACTGTAGCCTGCATACATGAACAGCATTATCTTGCAGCCATACATTGCTATTATATGATATTAAGACGATGTGTATGTGGCGACCCCGGTGTTTCAGACTTTCACAGGCTATTGCAACCATTTACCATCAGATGGGTATGGTAGATTTGGCATAAAAATACATTTTGTAGGCTAAGTCTCTATATCACCTAATTTCTTTGTTATTATATGGAAGAAAATGAAAATTTATTAATATTTTTTTTATTTCCAACAACTTGATACATATAACAATATTTGTCCATATTATATATGTAAGTACTATCATTATCTATTACAAATAAATAAAATTGCTGTTTGTAAGTTCACTAAATATATATGAAAATCTATATTATACATACCTAAAAAAATATTTTCAAATTTGTTTGTCTGTTTGTAAAATGGCAGTTACAAATAACTAAAGTTTTAAGATGTAACTTAGATTACTATTACTTTAGAAATTTTATTTATAATAATAATCAATAATAGTAAATAGTTCAATTCCACATGGATAAAGTCGCATTGAATAGCTAGTAGAGAATAATTATATTGTCTTTGTGGTCACCACACTCACTATGGCAATGCTACAGTAGTGTCAAAATAGTCCACCCACGTACTCCAATTGTATATGCTAGTAGGGCATTAGTGCAGGATAAAATGAACAACAAATCAGGTCAGATATCCCACTGAAGGCTATATACCAAGAATTCATAACACTTCAGGAGGACCTCATACAGGGCGATCTGACAGCGTTAAACTAGTATTTTTTATTGTTCACTACTGAATAGGAAAAAATATTTCTAACCTCAATTGTTGGTTGAAATCATCTTGAACGATATCATCCTCCCAATTATCTTCCCACACGGAGACATCCTCGTCATCGGCGTCCTCTGTGCCCCAATCTAAAATACAAATAACAATTGTAAAACTAAAACAAAATTGGTGAGACGACACAATCGTGAAAGAAAACTAACTTTCCGCGGGAAATTCTTCGAATTCATCATCTTCTTCTAATAATCCGAGATCTAGTTTTTGTTTATCTGCCATTTTTTTTAGTAGTAATTAATAGAAAAGTGTAAATAGAAAATTTTTAACTTTATGTTGATATAGGATAACAATGACACGAGCAATTTTGATTTGAACGAATGATCATGGATTTTTGTTTTCTGTTATTCCTTTGCGAAATGCATAGGGATCTCTACGTATACAGCCATGAATGACCATTGAGTGATGTGGTATTGACATTTAATATTTTGACTTACATAAAACTGACACTTTAGTGTTGCCCAATTTCCGTGTGGTCGTACCCCCAAATTTTGTAAACAATAAATCATATTGTTAATAAGAAATCTATGGTACTAACAGTCTTTATAGAACGTTACTATTTTCCAATGTACTAATGCATTCTACATTAATTTTTTTTTGTTTGATTAAATGGGTTCACGAAATTGATCATTTTTTTTTCACGAACTTGATCTAATTTGGGGCAATGGGCATCAGGATGCCTGTTTAAGTCTTCGGTACATGTCATGCCCCTCATTAAAGAAATATGTACCTACTTTATCTAGTTAAATTTTATATACACGTATTTTAGTAGAATACATATATGAAAAGTAGTATAGAACCAAATACGAGTAAATAATAAGTACTAAAGTGTGGGTAATTGTATTATGAATATTATGTGGGTACTGTATTGCATGTTCCTTTATTAAACAGTCTCAATCAAAACGTCTTTCTGTTAGCACCTTGGTCCTGCACCTTGACATGGCGCAGCCGGTATTAAAATAATATATATATATATAAATAAAATTAGTAAAAGTGTATTTTGAAAGTATATACATACAATTGGAGAAGAAGAAAAAAGATAATAATTACGTGCAAAATGGAATCTGTTTTACAACCACCACAACCGTTTCTTTTTGAAAATGACCTTGTAAATGTCACATCTGGAAATTTAAGCAGAGAATGGGAGAAGTGGAAAAAATCATTTTTAATATACTTCGAAGCTTGTGAATTATCGAAAAAAGAAAAAAAGGTACAGATTAATATTTTGTTGCATATAATTGGAGAAAAATGTCGTGAGATATACGACCAGTTCACAGAAACATTCAAGACTATTGAGGAGGTGATTCAAAAATTTGATGATTTCTTTTTACCTAAGAAGAATTTAACAATAGAGCGACATAGATTTTTCACTCGGAACCAGCAAGATACGGAGACGGTTACGCAATATGTTTTTGAATTGAATAAAATGGCGGCTAAGTGTGAATTCAAAGATTTATGTAGCGATCTTGTACGCGATAGATTAATATGTGGAATAAAAGATGCAGCAATGAGAGAAAGATTATTGCGTGAATATAATTTAACATTAGAAAAGGCGGTAGACATATGTAGATTGGCGGAAGTTTCACATGCGCAAGCTGAGCATATTGAAACGAAAAATCCTGAATATCATGTACATGATGTGAAGAATAATAATAACGAACATTGGAGGGAACGGACTGATATTCACTGGATAAATCGTGGATCTTCAAGAACCAGAGCCAACCGGGGTGTACGGCGGATTCCTTCAGATCGTAGGTCGGGTCACGTACCGACTTCATCTCATGGCGTGAAAACGAATCGGTTTTCGTCGAACAGTGAGTGTAATAGATGTGGTCGCATCCATAATAGGTACAAATGCCCTGCATATGGACAGAAGTGTAACAAGTGTAGCCGCATGAATCATTTCTCAAGAATGTGTAGAATATTTGAGGTGCTGGAGGAGGATTCCACCGATCAGGTAATTCATAACCTTAAAACAAGTTCATTTAGTAGTGATTGGTTAGTAAAATTATATATCAGAGGTCAGCTGGTTGATTTTAAGTTAGATACAGGTGCAGACGTAAACGTTATTCCGTTAAAATTATTATCCAAATTAAGTACAAACAAAAGCGATTTGACGAGTACGAAAATTAAATTACAGGCATATTCTGGTGACAGCATTAAAGTTATTGGTAAATGTTATTATAAAGTAACTCATAAACAGAATAACTATATTTTAAAGTTCATTATTGTTGATGTTGATTCTTCGGCTATTTTAGGCAGGAATTCATGTGAGGAATTACAATTAATAAAACGAATTATGTCCGTAAGTACAGAGGATAGTAATAACAAAATTTTAAATAAATATTTGGATGTATTCACTGGATTGGGCTGTTTACCCGGTAAATACAAAATAAAATTACATAAAAATATTAGTCCTGTGGTACATGCGCCTAGAAAATTACCAATAGCCCTCAAAGAAAATGTTAAAAATACTTTATTAGAAATGGTGAACGATGGTATAATAGCGAAGGTGGAGGGGCCCACTGATTGGGTCAACAGTATGACTGTTGTCAAAAAAGCCAGTGGAGATCTACGCATCTGTTTAGATCCCCGAGATTTAAATAAGGCGATTAGGCGGGAGCATTTTAAGTTACCCACGTTTGAGGAAATTACGTCAAATTTATGTGGTGCAAAATTTTTTACCACTTTGGATGCTAAGCAAAGTTTTTGGCAAGTCATGTTACACGAGGACAGTACCGATCTATGCACGTTTAATACACCATTCGGTAGGTATAAGTTCTTACGGATGCCGTTTGGTATCTCTTCAGCGAGTGAGATATTCCACAATAGACTTTATAATCACTTTGATGATATAGAAGGTGTTATTTTGTTCGTTGACGATTTATTAGTTTATGGGGAAACCAAGGAAGTTCATGATATACGTTTAGAAAAGGTATTGCAGCGGTGTCGTGATATAAACATAAAATTAAATAGAAAAAAATGTAAAATAGGACTAACAGAAATAAAATATTTGGGACATAAAATAGCTAAAAATGGTGTGTATCCTGATGATGATCATATTAAGGCGATAAAAAATATGCCTACTCCTAAAAATAGAAAAGACATTGAGCGATTTTTGGGGTTGGTCACTTATGTAGGTAATTTTATCCCTAATTTATCGGAGAAAACGTCACTGTTACGCGAATTACTGAAGAAAGAAATTGTGTGGCACTGGGACGACAGACATGAACAGTGTTTCAGCAATATTAAACAGTGTTTAATTCGACCACCTGTACTACAATATTATAATTTAAATAAGCCAGTCACTATATCTGTAGACGCCAGTAAAAATGGTTTGGGCGCGTGTCTATTGCAAAACAATTTACCGGTATGTTATGCATCAAAATCTCTAACCAAAGCGGAACAATCATACGCACAAATAGAAAAAGAGTTGTATGCTTGTTTGTATGCTTGCGAAAAATTCTATACATATATATACGGTAGATCAGATGTAACTATAGAAACAGATCACAAGCCGCTAGTAAGCATAATTAATAAACCTCTGTATAGTACCCCCGCACGTTTGCAACGGATGTTGTTACGTTTACAACCTTATTCATTCAATCTTGTCTATAAGCCGGGTAAGTATCTATATATAGCGGATACACTATCGCGTGCAGTAGCACCGAGTGACGGGGCGCGCGTTACACAGCGCAGTGATTACTTGGACTTGCAAGCGCAAGTGTGTGCAGTGTCTGCCAGCAACCCATTGACAGACACTCATTTTTTGCAAATACAAAAATGCACTAAATCTGATAATGAACTACAAGAATTAATAAAACTAATAAGAGAGGGATGGCCAGAACATAAACATCAGGTACTGAGTAACGTGTTAAAACCTTATTGGGATATTCGATTTGAGCTTACTGTATCATTTGGTATTATTTGGAAAGAAAATAAAGTCGTAATTCCAAAATGTATGCGTAGGGAGATGATAAAAAAAATACATGTCGGTCACATGGGTGTAGCAAAATGTAAAATGCGCGCACGAGAAATTATGTATTGGCCTAACATGAGTGCTCAATTAGCAGATTATTTATCAAATTGCCAATCCTGTTTGACGTATAAAAAACAGAACGCCAAACAACCTTTAATTCCGCATGAATTGCCCTCCAGAGCGTGGAGTAAAGTAGGTGTCGATGTATTCCATTTCAATTCAAAATTATATTTATTAGTAGTAGATTATTATAGTAAATTTATAGAAGTGGCGAAGTTGAATTCTCTGAAGTCAAATGATGTTATTGAAAATTTAAAATTAATATTTTGTAGGCATGGTATTCCGGAGATTGTAATGTCCGACAACGGTCCTGAGTTTTCATCTAGTATTTTTAAAAATTTTTCTCGTAATTGGAATTTTCAGCATGTCACTTCGTCGCCAAGATATCCACAGTCTAATGGCCAAGTTGAAAGGTCCATTCAAACTATTAAAAATATAATGAAAAAGACAAGTCATGATCACGCTGATTTTAATTTAGCATTGTTAGAATATTTAAATACGCCTATAAGTTTCGAAATTCCTTCGCCGGCTGAGTTACTGTATAATAGAAAATTACGTAGTATATTACCTAGTTCACCAGAATTGCTGAGACCTAAAATACATAGAAATATAGATACTAAGTTGAGAGCCCGTCAAAATATGCAAAAAATGTATTATGATCGTCATGGATGTAGGAATTTAAAACCTTTAAGTGTAGGTCAAAAGGTTAAAATTAGAATGCAGAAACAATGGGAACCGGGCACAATAATAGATATTGCAGGTATACGGTCCTACGTTGTGCGAATGTTATCAGGGGATATTGTTAGACGCAATAGAAGACATATTATTAGCGACAGTGATCAGCGAGTCGATGACTCATTACCCTTGTACTCGTCAAATCGTTATGATGATAGTTACAGTTCGCACACTCCAGCAACCACGTTATCAAATCAAGCCAGTGACTACAACAATGAAAATAATTCCAATGTAAATATTAATGGTCATTTTACACGTTATGGCAGGGAAGTGAGACGCCCTGATTGGTGGATAATTCCTGACAGCTGAGCAGGTGCATAGACCTACTACACAACAAACTACATACATACTATGAACCTGAATGAAAAACTGTAATTTCAAATAAAATATAATAAATTGCATGCTAGTGAAATGATATTTTGTTTTTGTATAAATGATTTTTAAGACTAATAAAATGTAAATTGATATAAAATGAATGCAATTAAATGGCAATATAAATAAATAATGTAGAATGTAATGACATTTAAATATATATGTATAACTAAGCAACATTGTTTACTAATCAATGTCATAACATTAAATTCCATTAAAACAAAATTATAAGCATCAAGTAGAGATTGTAATTGTATATGTATTCATCAATGTTGAAAATTTAAATAGCCAATGGCACTAATATGTGTTAATTAAGTTATAAAGATTGTATATTATTAATATTTAATTTCTTCCATCAGTTGTGTTTATGTAATTGTGATTGGTAAGAATAAAGATGAATTTAAAAATAAATTTATATAATAATAAAAAATAAAATATATATATATGTAGTGAAATATGGATATAAACTACTCTATTATTTTACATTGTAAATACAAAATTACAAATATAAATATGTCTTAATTTTATTATGTTGAAATAATTATTAATATAATATATAAGTAAGCGTCAAAAGGTATATATAAATATAGATTGTGTAAATTTTTATACATACATACTTCATTTATTTTGATAAGGGGGATGTGGGTAATTGTATTATGAATATTATGTGGGTACTGTATTGCATGTTCCTTTATTAAACAGTCTCAATCAAAACGTCTTTCTGTTAGCACCTTGGTCCTGCACCTTGACATAAAGTACCTATTATTTACTCGTATTTGGTAATAATACGAGTAAATAATACCAAATACTATTTTTTAATAAATAAACTAACATAACAAATATGTTAGCATTAATTGAATGTACGACTTGTACATAATATGTCATTTTTCTCCAAACAGCAAATAGAGTCAGATCTCATATTGCGGTAAAATTTAACATTTGGATTCAAACTTATTCGGGCATCATCATGGTCATCAAATATAGAACTGCTGAAGGGAAATTAAAGAAATAAAATAAATATACTGAATATTTCACACATTTATTTGGATTACAAAATACGGTCTCATGGTTATTATAATATATCTCCATGAGGAATCACCGTACAAACAACACTTAATACTATAAATATATCACAACGTATCACATAGTTTTCAAGCAATATCAAAGTAATACAAGATGCGACATAATATTTTTATAATCATAAACGTCACACGATCAGAACTATTGCTTGATGCTAGTATACCGTGTGTATCAAACTAAATATCCGAATATTAGGATGTAAAATAACCCAGAATTTATGACACAGTTGCTTATATTTCTTGTTTTAAATACGAGTAAGTTTTAACGTAATTTAAAGCTGCCTGTTTCAAACTGTATTTCAAAGAAGAAAACAATAGCCAAATTAAAAAATCTTATTTGGTCTGACCGAATGTCGAACACCAAACCTCACTACCTACTACCGGTAGGCTACAGGGGTTATATTAATTAAACAATTTAGGACAACGATACCTGCTCAGAAACAGAATCCATGATATTGTAAATTATATCAAATATGAAGTCCAAGACTCCTTCCCTTTAATTTCAAACACTGAGGAAGCAAATCATTTGACGGGAAAATAGATATTGAGGCTTAGATAAGTTATACACATAATAGAAATAAAATTCCGCCTTGGATAAAATTAAATTTAGTTTCAATTGATTGGAAATTAGTAAAACAATAAAAATATCTTTTCTATATTTTTTTTATAATAATCTTTTAGACAATTTGAAATTGTCGACTAATAATAAACATAATATTCATAAGATATCTCTATTTGAGATATAGTTAAGGAATAGTTTGTCTAATCTCTATTTTTATTTCTTTTACTATATTTTATTACATCAGAAAATGCTACATGTTAATGACAATATAATGTATTCATCATTATCTTAACAAATAAACCTATCACTGAGAATAAATCTCTCGCTAGAAGAGGGATAATGCTAGCTTAATAGTTAAAGAATATGCATTATACTTAATTATAAACTAAAATACTAAATATAGTTCGTTTTATATATAATATATTGAGACCAGGTTTTCTCATCGACTTACTAAATATAAACTTCAGTACAATTGATTCTACATCTTTCAAATACCTTCTAAGATAACATAAACATCGGCCGGGGTATATATAATGTCTCCAGCCGAATTTACACGAAAAGTTACATGCCAGATTATAAAATACTTATACCAATCCTTAGTCCACTGATTTTCCATAAATAGGGTAAATCATTTGGGACTAGCAACACTAGTCTGTTTTCCTTTTTTTATTGCCGAAGCAAAGGAACTACGTACATTCTGCCAATAATTGATGAATCCGTTATGTTTGAAGAAAATTCTTAACTGCATTCGAACAGAAGATAACGGTGTAAAGTTTTAGGTACTTCCAATTTATCAACAACATCGATTAGAGAAGTACTAAAATATTTACGAAGAAATACTCTACATTGTGCAATTAAGGGAATTGGTAACATAGCACGTTGAGTTAAGGCCTGTTTTTGAGTAGGAGTTAAGACGCTATTTCTTTTTATCATGCACAGATCGAAAGCTTCTGTTGCCTCTAGAAGAAGATAGAAGATGTGCTGGTATTGTTCAGCGGTGACGTTCTGGAGATGGTTGAGGATGCCGTCCGGATCGCGAAATTGAGTTTTCATGATGACCTAGAATAATAAAGGAATAAATTATTTTCAGTATTAAGATATTATTTTGACAAGAAACTATTTTTATCGAACTAATAATGTAATGTAAGTTGCACTCAATTTTGTGCACTTAGCCTCTCATTTGGGCCGTTGTACGTGTAGAGCCGACGGTACTAGTGTAGCCAGCCAAGCTAGAACTATGTAAGATTATGTTATCTGTGCGAGAACTATTTTATTGCTGTTGGCCGTGGCTGGCCTTTACAGTGTCCCAAGACGAAAGTTTTTATTCAAACTTTGATACCTAAATATAAATCTAAGAGAGTTCTCTACCAGTCTGAGTTCTCTACCAGGATATTGGTGTAAGTTCACAGTAATAAAGCTTATGCATCAGAATAACACATAGGCTATATTTTATATTGAATTTTATCGCGGCCGAACCCGCGGGCACAGCTAGTTAACCAATAAAAAAAATAAAAAATATTCCATTTATGAATTAGTTACTCATAATAGTGTGACTTCCTTCCTAGTAGTAGTTTCCTTACCCTGGCTCCATATCTGAGCAGCATGGCTACAATCTCCGCGCTGGGCTCCGGATTGCTGGCCAAGTACTCAGCAAGAGCTGGCCGCAGCTGCGTCGCGTCTTCATCGTTGTAAACCTTGAGGTTAGGGTCGGCTCCACTTTCTAGAAGGATCTGGAAAATATTATATATTAAATAGAAAAATGACATTTTTCAAAATTAGAAGCTAGAATTGCCTCCTTTTATATAAGTCAATTAAATTAACCACGCAGTCTTAATCATTATCTAAATACTTTTAAAATTATATATAATACTTTTATGTATATTTAAAACTTTAAAGGAAAAACAATTTAAACTTTTAGTTATTGTCTTGTTAAAAATGTACATTTTGAATACTGCCATTTTTCTATTTAACCGACGTAATATATACTTGCTTCTAGCCTAACATGCCCATGTGGTGCCCACGTGCCACGAGCCCACGTGGTGGAGAAATATAAATATAATATATAAAATTCTCGTATCACAGGTTTCGTGTTTATACACCTGCGAAACGGCTTTACCAATTTTGATGAAATTTTATATGTATATTCAGTAAATTATAGAATAGGTTTTTAACAAATTTTTATACCCCTAAGTGTTATGGGTGACTAACAAAAAATTTTTTTTCCATTTTTTCGACAATTTTTTTTTATTTTTTTATAACGTGCCATTAAAAATATATTCAATCCTAATTTTTCACTCTTCTATCACCAACCCCTATTTTTTAATAGCGATATTAATTCATATGACAAAACAACCTTTGCTACAACTGTCAGCTAGTAATATTATTAGATTAAGATAAATAAAATGACTCACTTTAACTATTTCATCCCGGCAGGAGATGTTATCGGAGCAGGCCACGTGCAGTGGAGACCCGATCACTGAACTCGACGCATTCACCTGGGCACCTGCCGCAATCATTCAAATTCAAAAATCACTCAAATTCGAAAAGAAAACCTTCGACGTAAAAAAAGAATCACGCACAGGTTGCGTGTATGATTCTTCTGATAAAAGATAGTTCTACATCTTTTATGTCACAAAAGAATGCAATGGACCAACTTGGCATAATATATTAAGCTAAATTCAATATTTACAAAATTAATGCGAAATCAAAAACGGAAATAAACTCTGTCAAACGAAAAAAAAACATCACAATTGAATTGAGAATTTCTTCATTTGTATATTTTTCGAATGGATGTTTATACAAAACATTAGGTGTAGCAATTTTTTTATAAATTTTATTTGTTTCAACTCTTCATTGGATGTTGATATTAACTACTTCAGCCGCGATTTGATACGGGAAAAATTTTAATTGTTTAATGTGCTCCTCTGGAGGGGATGCTAAATTACGACTATATAAATACACATATATTATATTATATTTTGTATACATTAGTAAATACTTAATACTTAAATATAATAATAATCTCAGGACAATTCACACAGCGCCATCTAGTCCCACGGTAAGCAGAGCTTGTATTATGAGTATTAGACTACTGATATAAATATATAGATATATTTTTTCTTCGTAAATACATACATATTATACATAGAAAACATCCAGACCGATAAAAAAAATCATACTCATGAATATAAATGTTTGTACCGTGCGATTAATCGAACCTGCGACCATAGGAATTAAGGCGCTGTGCTTAACCGCTAGACCACCGAGGCCATCATATAATATATAAATATCTATATTTATGTTTAATTCAAATATAATAATATTGTGATTTTGCATGTTTTTAAGTGTAGCAAGTATACGTTACCAGCTGCTAACAGCATCTGCACCATTGGGACGTCTCCCTTCAAGATGGCCAGGTCTAGGGGACTGGGCTTGCTCAGTTCTGGACATTCGTAGTTGACGCGGGCGCCTTGCTTTATCATCAGGTTCACTACCTCTGTGCTACCTGGAATACGATAGGTGTTCTGATGTTAGAGGGAGAAGGTGATAGTCTATTATGTGGAAAGATAGAAGAAAAATAATTATTTATGAGTATACATGGAATTATTTTAATTTCTCTTTTATTAATGCTCTATCTATATTTAGGTATTTGAAATCTTATACCATATCCTTACTTCCTTATTAATTATAAATACGAAATTAACTATTTGTCTGTCGTGCTTTCACGTCAAAACTACTGAACCGATTTAAATGATATTTGGTACACAGATAGTCTAGACCCTGAGAAAGTACATAGGCTACTTTTTAATGCGGATTATATATTGGCCTAAAAAATAAGTTAAATAATGTAAAGATTAATTAAAATACATTAATTACTTTTTGCTAAAAAATAAGTTAAATAATGTAAAGATTAATTAAAATACATTAATTACTTTTTGCATGATAGCGTAACAATAACATTCACACGGGATTTTGTATCTATATGTTGAATTAGTCTGTGGCCTTAAATCGTGTAGTACGAGGAAATAAGAAGAAAACTCGCCCATAACAACAACCAGAGCTCCTTTAAAGGATAGTGGAATGGTGCACTCGCCTGCACTAACGGTTTACGCTGGCGGGGCACCAGTGGAGTTTGATAAGATGATTGTGAGGTCAGGTCACCGCATCGTGACGAATTCACGAGAAATTAATCACGAGGGTTTCAAGGGGAAAGTGGAGGTCAAACTGACATGGTACAATGCTGGCTGGATTATTACTCCACATTACTAACAATCCCCTTTTTGGAATTCAATTATTAGTAGGAATCCCAATGCAATGTACGTACCACATGAAGCAGAGGTCTTTAATTCAAAATAAATCTTTAATTAAAATAATAGATATTTATTTAAAAGAGCAACACACAAGTTTTAATGCTCATTCTTTGTGTGATGGGTCTGCGTTACGAATGAGCGGTAGAATGAAAAATGTGACTATTCAAAAATGCTTATATTAAGTTTATTTGAATAAAGATTATTTCTATTTCTATTTAAAGAACTTACCGCTAAGTACAGCATAATGCATCACAGTCCGGTAGTCGTTCCTGGCATCCGCCATCGCGTTCACATCAGCACCGTAGCTGATCAGCAGCAGAACTGCATCCATACCCTGACACAACGATAAGGAATATATTATTAAGTTAAATAGATAGATAGAAATCTGCAATTTTTGCCAAACTGAAGAGGAAACGCCACTACACATCCTATGTGGTAGCCCACTCATGCATAAACATTATATCTCCTTTGGAAAGTTTACACTCTTTCCTGAGGAGATAAAAACCATCGCTTCTAAGAATATCCTTCAATTCTTATCCCTGACTCTACTCTACCTCTCTACTCTCTAGGTTTGGGTAGTGCACTTTGAAAAGGGCGAGCACAATAGATCTATACTGGTCGCAGTGCTACAGATCCATGCGCTTGACAATAGCCCAAACAACCCAATAAAACAAAGATAGACAAATAAAACTCTATAGTCGCCAATTAGGTCTGTATAATTGTAAACGTAGCATACAAGAGGTACAGAAAAAATACAAGAAAAATTAAAAGATATGGAGGTGACTTTATGTGTCGAAAATGTGAAAAGGCAACCAAATAAAGCTACAGATAAATCTGCAGCGCTGATATTCTGTTGGCTGCTGTACATAATACAATACAAATACCTACTAATACTTATTATTAAAAATATATATGAATATATATTAAACATTAATATGAGAAAGCCATTACAAATCATAACATATAATTTTTTTTTCTATAATGGAATTGGTGAATTTTTTTTAGTATCTAATTAAAGTTTGTTGCACCCGCCTGCGCTAACAGTTTACGCTGGCGAGGCACCAGTGGAGGATGATACGATGAACATGAAGAAAATCCTTTAACTGAATTGGCAACCAAATTATTAATAGCAAAGAAAGCTTTAAAGTTGGAAATGACCCATAGTTTTTATATTATGTATTGTTGCACTATGTCATATTCTGCGGAATAAACCCTCAATTTTTATAAAAGACCATCAGACCCGGCCACGCGTTGTTATAGCTAAGGTTCTTCAATAAAATAATATTGAAACTATAAATTGAGATGTAAGCTATCCTATCTTTCAAGTTGGATCGAATTGCACACAACGTGCAAATCAAATTTGCAATCGGTTCAATAGTTTAGGAGTCCATCGCGGACAAGCAACGTGACATGTAATTTTTATATATAAAGATTTAATTTAAGTTGGTACTTTCCTCCGCCTGTAATTCGAATAGGGACTAATAGACCCCAGTATCTTCTATCCCATTCTTCTTCTTCTTTTTTCTTATAATGTACATAATAAAGATCTGTTACACTCACCTTTCGTTGTCTAGCTGCCTTCATAAGCGGGGTTAGACCAGCTCGATCCCTTGAGTCAGGATTGGCTCCAAATGTGAGCAGCAGCTCTAAGTACTCAGGGTCGGAAACCAGGTTGATCTCGGAGCCGAAGAAGTACCGCTTGTTGGGGTCCGCACCATGCTCGAGCAGAAGACGAGCCACTTCCTGTATAGGTTTCAAGAATTTATTACCTTACACATAGTTCTATTTATTTATTATATGTATATATGATACATAGGTATCAATTGGTAGTACAAATGTATATCATAATAATCCTAGACAATTCACACAACGCCATCTAGTCCCAAGTAAAGCAAAGCTTGTGTTATGTGTTCTAGACAACTGATAAAAATACATAGATTATTTTTTTTTGTAAATACATACATATAATATATAAAAAACATCTAGATCAATACAAATAATCATACTCATGAATATAAATGTTTGTACCATACGAGGAATCCAACCTGCGACCATCGGAGAGTATGGCGGTGTGCTAAACCGCGAGACCACCGAGGCAGTCTCTAAGCATTCATATCAGTTGTCTAGTACCTATAAATCAAGTTATACTTAGCTTGGAACTAGATGGCGCTGTGTGAATCGCCCTCAGATATTCTTATATTATTATTATAAAAATCTTACTCATTAATACAAATGTTGGAACCAACATGCATTACAGTCAGTATTGAATATATATATATATATATTTAATTTTAGGTTCTTAGTTGTACAATTAGGTTATGTAAATATTAGTAATAGGTATATATAATAAAAAAACTTACATAATGTTTGTTCCTAATAGCCAATCTCAGAGGTTCATCGCACAGCGTAGTCCTCGGAAACTCCTCGCCAGTGTCAGGCCTGTAATCCACAGCAGCGCCACTCTCCAGCAGCAACTTGACCAGTTCTGTGTAACTGGTGAGAGAAAAAACATAATAATAAGATAAATACAGTCCAATCAATGTATTAGAAAATGCCCACTGTTTGCCCATGCCAATCAGTTTTTCCTGTCAGTAATTATTGTTAAATCCCAATACAGTTTTATTGTGATAGAACAATAATTACTAACATGAAAAACTGATACTGATGAACAACACAATGAACTTTTTTCTTTGACTTTTATAGATTAGATTTCATTGGGTCATTGTTTTGTTTATTTCATTCGTCAAAAGCAGATTTTTTCCAAAATGCTATCCAAGATCATTCCGCGTGGACAGAGTCGCAGGCACAACTAGTCTACAATGTATAGATACTGACCCGTGTTCAGCAGACAGATGGAGAGCGCTATACCCACAGTCATCCCTGGCGTTGACGTCACACCCCCTGACCAGTAACAGCCTGGTGGCCTCCAGGTATCGCTGCCAGATGGCGTAATGCAGCGGCCGGAGTCCTTGAGTAACTGGCTCGTTTACCTGAAACCTCATTATATCATTACATCTATTTGATTTGACGGACTCACTTAATTAACTGAATTAACGAATCCTTCAAAATTCACTTAATCACTACCTTAAGGAGACAAAAACCATCGCTCCTAAAAATATCCTTCAATTCTTGTCCCTGACAGGTCTAGGGTGCGAACACCGAAAAAGGGCAAACACAATAGATCTATGTAGGTCGTAGTATTACACCCATATGTTTCCAATATTCAGTAGAACTAAATAGATCTCCCTAACAACGAGATGAGGCCTGCCGAAGTAGAATGCTACCCAACCTCCCGACTATAGCAATGGCGCTCGTAGGTACACCGTGTGGTCTTTTAATGTGCAAGAATCCCACGCAACATCCCATCCCACCTCGGATGGAGGGATGGTCTTTTGAAGATTTTTCCATAACATAAAAAAAGACTATAATTTTAGCCCAGGAGTTTAGGAGGTTACCAGACTTTTCAATTTGAAGTTTACCTTAGCCCCACAAGCCAGTAGTATTCGTATTTCGTCAAGAGGTACCATACGAATGATGGAGTCAGCTAGCTCCCTCTGGAGGGACTTCTCCGAGATTACTTCAGAAGGCATTGTAACTGAAACAACATTAATTAGACTTGATAAATAGTTAGTATTACAACGGAATAGGAAATCAATATGCTTCTATTTACTTTCATTCTCAGGGTTATGAGAATAAAGCACAACTATATCGGTACAAAAAAATTTTCTACAAAGATCTAGATCTGATCAGCTGAGTATCCTGTAATGAGGATTAAACTATGATTAACAAGTACCTACAAAATAAAAATAAACACATCATAAAAAAGAATGAAACAGTCAATAAGTGTACTGATATCGTGAGTGCTGTGTGTCGCCATCATTCGTTGATTGATTGTTCATCCAACTGAGCTGAAGATGTGTAGGTCATATTGTTTGATGAAAATCGAGTATTTCATTGATGTGTATGTACAAACTTTTATCAAGTTTAAAAAGAAAAAAGATTGTAAATTTTCTACAATATTTTATTAACTCGCTGAATTAGCACGTTTTTAAGAGATAAATAACATTTTAAGGAAGATGTTACATATGAATGTAACATCTTCAGAGGAAGTATGAAAGTGGCACCGGTGTCAGAGAGGTTGAAGAGTAATCGTCTATCATGGTATGGACATGTAATGCGTAGGAACGAGGATAATATTTTAAGAAAGGTTACATATAAATGTGGATGGTTATAAGGGAAGAGGAAGGCCAAAAAAGAGATGGATGGACTGTGTGAAAGATGATAAGAAAGGGAGTATGACTGCGAACCGGGATAAATGGAAGAGAAAAACATATTACGCCGACTAAATAAATAGGATAAGAAAGAAGCAGATGATGAATTAGCACGTTTTGTATGGAGACGAATATGACAGTGTTAAGAACCGTATTAACTTCATTAGGAAGTTTAAAAATAACTACTTTTATATTAAGTTTATTTGAATAAAGATTATTTATTACTGCTTCAACTCGTCAATTCTGTTTAGACATGTTACCGGTGTCGAGTAATAGCTTGTTGATTGTAACAAGCTATCGTTCGTTGATCAAGATTATTCATCCAACTGAGCTAAAGATGTGTACATAGGTCATTTTGTTTGGTGAAAATCGAGTATTTCATTGATATATGTATAAGTTGTATGTACAAAATGTTATCAACTTTAAAAAGATATTGTACTAAATTTTCTACAACTCGTCAATTCTGTTTAGACATGTTACCGGTGTCGAGTAAGCTATTAAGCTTATTACAATGATGACACGATGATGAATGGTTCTTTGGCAGACGTCATTCGCAGATTTAAAAGTTACCGCACTGTCTAAATATAGTTCTTTTTTTAAGCGGAATCAATGATTCTACAATGATTCTTACATTGTTTCATACTGTAAGTAGATGATTTCAATACCTGCTAAAGTCCCCTATGTAATTTAATTTCGTATGGATATAATTATGTATTGTGTATTTATTTATATATAATATTTATATATCTATGTTTATATTTATACATTTATTTATGTATGTTTATTATTATTATTAATTTTTATTGAAATTTATATTTAAAATATTTTGCTTTATATTTATATATATATCTTTTTTTTGACATTTCTCATCTATATTAGTGCACCGCCAAAAATCTTTCTCTGCACCACTCATGGTTGCCTGGTAGATAACGCCGCATGGTGTTAAGTCCGCCATATGTACTTTTACCTTGGTATTTTGTGCATTGAAGTTATATAAATAAAATAAAATAAATAAATATACAAAAATCTTTAATAATCAAGAACAACAGACATCTTTAAGTAAATCAATATTTATTTTGGAATTTGTGTGTTGCTCACACACAAATTTCTTGCTCATTCTTCTTGTGATGAGTCTGCATTCCGAATGAGCGGTAGAATAAAAAAACTTGACTATTCAAAAGTGCTTATATTAAGTTTATTTGAATAAAGATTATTTCTATTTCTATTTCTTTGCAAAAGTATGTCCGTCTGTCGATTACCTTTTCACGAGTAATGCAGATAGATTTTATATTACCATTGAATCAGTGGAGATTTTTTTATATGGCATAGGGGCCAACTAGTTTGCGGCCCGTCGTATGGTATCTTTTCATGAAACTTTCAATATCATATTGGTTCGTAAAAACACTTACTATAATGTGATTCCACAATGTGTTTGTGCGTAACAAAAAGTTTCTGGAAAACGCACGGTAGAGGACCACCAGTCAGCCAGGAGATCAGGATGGTATTTTAGTTTCTGGTGGGTAGTACGTTTGTGAATATCTGCAGCTTGTAGTAGGTAATCAGAACAATTCCTCAGAATACTTTTCGTGATAGATAGAATAGAAAATCATTTATTCAAATAAACTTACATTGAAGCACTTTTGAACAGTCATTACATTTTTTTTATCTACCGCTCGTTCGGAAAGCTGTCTCATCACAAGAAGAACGAGCAAGAAACTTGCGTGTTGCTCTTTTAAATAATTTTAATTTACTTTACATTTTTAAGTTTAAGTGTGTGAATACAAACCACCAATTAGCACTAATTCAATTAAATACTCAAATAGAAAAAATATTGAATATATAACCAACTAATTAAACAATTAATAAGAGGAAATCAGTCATAGTGATTAGAGCAGACCAGTCCCTACAAGCAGCACCCGCAGAATGAACATAAACTATATTTTATCCGTAAAAAGCAAGTGAAGTCGCGAGTAATAATTATTTTCTTTTAATTCTGACAACTCATTAGGAAATCTGTGGTCTTATAGCAGTATAGCACGCCACATTTCTTTTATATATACATAGAAACACCCAGACCGATACAAACCATCATACTCATGTTTGCACCGTGCGAGGAATCGAACCCGTGACTATCTGAAGTAAAGCGATATGCTTAAACCGCTAGACCATTGAGACTACTATATACAATCACACTGTTCCTGGACTAAACAATTAGAAGCAAGTTTAACTAATAGCGAGATACATTTTTGTGCCAAATTGTTTGATGACTGCGGTGAAAAGTGAGTAATAGGTTTTCTGAAGCAATCCTCTTAAATAGTATCTCTAATTAGAGAGGACATTAACCTCCACACTCACTGTCAGAAACTTATGTTTTTAATTATATATATACCTACAATTAAAAGTCTATAGATTTGTAACGAATGTATAAAACTTTCTTATTAATAATCTAAAATTCATTTAAACGACTGTTATCTCAGGATTATTTCGGATTGTATCAATGTTGAACCTTAGAAAATTGGTTAGATTCTTTTTGTGTCCACCAGATTTGAACTCACGACCTCTTGGGCGTCATGAACGTTTGAACCTACGCGAATTCACTAATCTATAATCTATTCATATAAATCTATAAAAAATTGGAGTGCCTGTTTGTAATATTGAAATAATAATTTTTTACTACATGCCTATAAATATAAATACGGTACATATACCAAAAAACACTTTTTACAATTTTTGTCTGTCTGTCTGTCGGTCTGTTTGATACAGGTAGCTGATGTAATAAGGAGTAACTTAGGCAACTTTTATTTTAGAAAAATAAAGTTAAATTCCATGCGGACGAAGTCGCGGGATTAGCTAGTTATTAATCTTTTGTATTAATTTACATATTTAACTATTATTGTGTCCTGTCTGTGATATGTGATGTGATGCGTCTAAGTAGTTCTAACACAGATAACATAATATTGTATCAAAATATTTCCTTAACATACTTCCTAATAAAAAAAATAAAGTGCGTATAGCAACATTAATTTAATAATATTTCATCGGCTATTTCCATTTCCCGCGCAGTTCGGTACACGCGAACTCGCGTTGCTTACAAAATGTCTTCCGCCATTAAATAAATCAATAACAAATTTAGAAAACAACGTAGATAAACTATTACGCAAAGGAAATATAGGTTGGGAAAAATTCTACGCGCTAAATTTTAATAATATTTTTGCCCATTGGGGTCGTGTTGTGGCGGGCAATTTGCCCAATAATGTTACAGATGTCTCGTTGCTATTAGATGTAAATAATGTTACATAATAAATCAAACACAGTTTTAGTGCAATGTTATAGTTTTATGCATCTACGGAATAAATAATGGCGCGTCACAGAGTATACAAACCGTAGAGAAGAGTACAGAATCGCCTACACTCAGAGCCAAAAAATATTTTTTGTGGAAGTTATGAAGAAATTATAGTAGCCATTAAACGCACCTCAGGAAGCTACTCATCAACCATTGTTGATAATAATTTTTATCGTAATATCTAGCTGTCTCACACTTCTACATCACTATAAAATGGCTTTATGGACTTCGAAATCTTGCAAGTCAACAGCTATTAGCCTAGTTAAAAATTTGTATTATACTTTATACTTAAAAGTCTTGTTTTAGTTCCTTCATTTTTTAATTCATTATTTGACTTTTGTCTTTTTTACAATTATTATATGCAGCACTTCTGTAACCCACTCATCATCTCCTGTGTCACGCTGTTTTGAGGTGACTGGAAGACTCTTTTAGAGATAATTTCTCCTTTGCTAATGTTTTAAATATTTATTTAAATTATGTATTTTAAAGTGCAAATCAAATTAATATTGAAATAAGGGAAATGCAATTGCAATTAATTTTTGGAGATTCAAACAAGGACGCAATTGCATAAAGCTCTGCAAAAAATCTTATATACATATAGTATTACATATAGTAAATAAGTAGGTCTTTTTTATATTTTATTAGAGAAAATTGGTAGTCTTCCTAATTGGAAGATGAAGCTAGACTGTAGACGAAATAAATGTCATTTTCAACTCTTCTGTTTCTAACACTACTTTCCGGGATATTGTGTAAAACATAAAATTGATTTCAAATCAATTTTGTGTTAATATATAATCAATTAAGTTAAATCTAAGCAAAAAGCCCTGAACAGCTGTCAAAGTACTCAATAGGGGATTCGAAATGAAGGGCAAAGTCTTTCTCCTTTTCCTTCTGAAGAAGCTAGAAGCTTCTGACGTTAAACGTTTTAAAAAACCGTTCAAAACCGAGAGGAAACCGAGGCATAACATTACAACCTGGTTG